ACGCCCCCACGGCTGAAAGGGCGAGCATGTTTGGTGGGCCGGGGATTCGAACCCGCGACCCGCAGATTGCTAGTCGAGCGCATTTTTAAAAGCAAACTTAAGATTAATTCACTGCTTCTCCAAACAAACGCCTAAACAAATATGGTAGATCACAGTTTAAACTGGAAGTACATGGAACGAGTTTTTTCACACCTTCCTATTAATATTAGACCCTTTACGAATATTTTTTTTCATTCTCAAATAGTTAAAAGTTATTTTTATATATATTAAATATAATTTCATGAAGAAGTACCAGATGTTAGTTCGGTTTACAGGCATAATGTTTTTTTTTTCTTTGAATAACCTGAATTTTTGACGTGTGTGAGGAGTGACATACTTTTGTAATTATTACTGGGGCAAATAAGCCGTTTGGGATTGTTTATTGGAGGTGACGTTTCATTCGCGTTAAAATCTGTCGGTGGATTTGTTTGTTACGTAAACAAAGTGAACTTGGTATTATCAATAATAATTAGTAAGTAATTTAAAATCTGTCGTTGGATTTGTTTGTTACGTAAACAAAGTGAACTTGGTATTATTCAACAGTAACTTAGTAAGTAATTTAAAATCTGTCGTTGGATTTGTTTGTTACGTAAACAAAGTGAACTTGGTATTATTAAACAGTAGCTTAGTAAGTAATTTAACAAACAAATCCAACGACAGATTTTACGTAAACAAAGTGAACTTGGTATTATTCAACAGTAACTTAGTAAGTAATTTAAAATCTGTAGTTGGATTTGTTTGTTACGTAAACAAAGTGAACTTGGTATTATTCAACAGTAACCTAGTGAGTAATTTAAAAATCTGTAGTTGGATTTGTTTGTTATGTAAACAAAGTGAACTTGGTATTATTCAACCATAACTTAGTAATTTGAAATGAGTCGTTATTTTATTTTATTTTTATAGTATGGATGAAGGTTATACAAAAAGTGGTATGAGCCAAAGCCACTATTTACGTTTAAACTTTTTGGCACACGTTGTGGAGGGGTGGGGCATTGCGATGGGTTGAGATGCTTTTTTTTTCTTTCTTAAATTTCCCCAGGCATCCCGACGAACGGCGCCTTTCCACCTCATAAATCTCACAGACTTGACAGCATCTGTGCTGCACTATTACAATATAGGGAAGGCTGAGAAAGATTTTTTAAACGAATCCAGGTTTTTATTAGGCTTTAAATTTAGCATTCGAAATATAGAAATTTGTAGCTAACGATTTGGCGAGGCCTTGCGAGTAACTGAATGTCGGATTCGATGTCGGTTACATGCATATAGGTTGTAAACGAGGCGTCAAGATATTTCATGACAATATTTATGTGATTTATTTATTTATTTTTATTTTCCAATTTTCTAGTTCTGAGAACAGACTAAAGCATGTAATTTCGCGTTTTTCAGTTGTACTTAATATCATCGAAACCTAAGCCTCTCAGGGATTGCGTATTTCATGGCCATCGAAAGTAACTTGCCAATTTACATCTCAAGTCTAGGATAAAGATTTATTTGTAGCAAATTTTGATATTGTGAGACATAATAGCATGCTGACTGATCATAATACAAATTAAGGACCAGCTGAGTCGTAAGAAATGACCCTGGTCGACTCGCCTGGGTGTGCGAACAACGCGGCTGGATGTCGCTTTTAATAAGAATAACTTTGTACCTGGTGGCGGTGGCAATATGAGGTGGCCCTTAGAGCGCGCTAGTGCTGCCAGTTGAGACACGATTCTGCCCACGAGAGCCTACCTGATGAGGCGGTTTCATAGTAAATTTCTAGCTTGAGGGCGAGGGTTTGTACGAGCCTTTATTCCTGTTTAAAACATCATTAAAATCCGACTCTTAATTTTTATTCTCACAGAATAATTAAATCGTTTAATTAGTGTTTTGTTGCTACACCGGTTAATGTGAACAGCACTGATATTTTTAATAGCCATGTTTCCTACACCTGTTGTTTTTAAATGTTTTTCACAATTAAGTTTATTATTGAAGTATCGATCTTTATGTAGTTATAATTTTGACCATATTTCTCATTAAATGTGTAAGGTTTATAAATAGTTGAAAAACGGAATATCCGTCATCACCTTGTCACACAAGCTGAACCGCCTATCTTAACACCTTTTTAGGTGTAAATTACTGGGTCATTTTCTTAATTCTGATCTTTGATCTTAAGTTATTGATTCTTTTCATACTTTCAAGCGCCAGTTTTAAAATTTTGATAAAACATAAATAGTGAATTCGTTAAGATAGATTCGTAGGAAAAAAAAGAAAGACAGGTGGCGACATCGGCGATCTGCAACCTGAGCCCTAAACAGCTTTTAATTACTTGTGAAATTATTTAAACGAGAAAAAATAACATGTATGAAATCTTTTTACCAATTCTATAGCCATAAACTTGAAAAAGGCGTGTCATATTAATCAATTGATTGTGTCGCATTTCTTATTAAAGACGTGTTACATTAATTTTTTGTATCGCATTTCTTGTTAAAAGGAGTGTTATATTGATATATATCAGAGATGGCTGGTATGGATATTAAAAACTTAAATTAAAATAAAATACAAGAACAACGATTTGACCTTCTTAGGTCATCTTCAGGTTAACAAAGACAGTTTGAAACTGACCGTTACTGGGCACGTGTCTTAGGGACGAGAGTGTGAACAGGTACTAGATTATAGGGGGCGTAGCAGTTCGATGTTAGGTGATTAGTATAGGTATAAAGGTGTTCCTTTATGTTGGTTCAATTTTGGTTTGAGTTTTTCTATAAGTAGGGCTTCTTTGATTTTTCGTTTGTTTGTCTTTGTTTCTCTACTTTAATATGTTGACGTTTACTATGGTTATGTTGTGTTTATTTGTTTTGCAGTGTTCAAAAACGTGGGAAGGTATTTTTCTGTGTTCATTGAATCTGGTTCCCATTTTTTGGCCTGATTCTCCGATACAGAAGTCGTGGCAGTTGTTGCATTGTATTTTAAAAATAATGTTGGTGTTATGTTTGTCAGAGTAGTTTTTACATAGTATGGATTTTAGTTTTGTGCCCGGTTTTTGAATGAATTTAGTGTTTATTGGAATGTTATGTTTTGTTGCAAGTTTTTTCCAAATGATGATTATTTATCGCTAACATCGGGAATATACGGTATGCAACAGTGCAGGGTTTTATAGTTAGTTGTTTGTTTCATTGAATTTATTATCGTTTGTTTGCTGTTGATTGAGTTGTTACCCTAGGTATATGTATGTATGATTTTTTCGAAGGAAATTTATTGACGTTGATGAAGTGTTGTTTTAATTGTTTGCTCTCCTCATAAATTTTATTGAGTGAGCATAGTTTTGTGGCTGTGTTTATTTGATTTTTGTTTCGTTTCATGTGCTGAGTCCTAGGGAATGTATAGTCCAGTATGGGTGATTTTTCTGTGGATTTCTGCTTTGAACTGTATATCGGTTCTTGTGATCTTGAGGTTGAGAAATGTTATTTGTTTAGCTTTTTCGTATTCACAGGTGAACTTAATGTTCGGGCGTATGAAGTCAATGTGGTTGAAAAAACTAAGTGTGTGTGTTCTGTAGATGTAAATCCAGCAAATGTATCGTCCACATATCTGTACCAGTATA